CTATCTGAGAGAAGGACAGAAGGTGGGCCTAAGCAGGTTGTCCCCCAAGAATGTTTCTAAAGATTTTTAAAGCCATGGTAGTTTACTTTTGTGCTATAAAAAGAAAGTAACGTTGATATGTACTTTTGTGAATGATTTATTCCTGAATTTTTAATTTTTTAACTTATTTTTTATTTTTTTAAAGAATTTATTTATAGATGGGGTCTCAATATGCAGTTTAGGCTGGCCTTGTGTGCACCTTTGTAGCCCCCAGGCTGGTCTTGAACTCGCAGTGATCCTCCTGTCTCTCCAATGCTAGGATTACAGGCATGCCCTGCCATGCCCATTTGTGGGCTGGTTCACGTGACCAGGGTTCTGTGGCCCCGGCATGTGGGGCTGGAGATTGAACTCGGGACCTTGTGCTTGCGAGACTGGTACTTAAGCCATTGAGCTATCTTCTTAGCCCCCCCGAATTTTTTATAATGTCTGTGTAATTATTTTTTCAGAGGGTAAGCTTAGAGCATAGTCTCAGGATTTACCTTTTATACCAAGCCCCTCATATGATGCTGTTTAATTAGGATTCCTCTCTATTAAAAGCTGTTTCTCTTTTTCTTTACCCTGTTCTGCTTAATTGAAATTTTACTGAAGCTTTGCTGTAATTTTTCAGTCTCGTTCTGGTTTTAGCTCCAAGCACATATTATTTAGCTCACATTACTTAAAAAAGCTAATTTTTACATTTACTTAGTAGATATTTTATAATAATAGGCACTTTGGTAGATATATATCCATTAAGCAAATTACCATAATAGTGAAATAACATACTTAGTTATAAAGTAAGATAAGTACTCTAACACTTTAGGTAAATGAACACAGAAAGGCACCTGACCCACACTGAGGAAGTGGCCTTTAAACTGAGATCCAAAGCATGCTTAATGACCAGGCAAGGCACAGGGGTCAGTAGAACAAGCTTTTACAAAGTAGCTGTGGCAGAAGGAAGTGCAGTGTGACTAATAACGTTAAAAATTACTTGGACTGCAATGGTGACCATCACTGGGAAATAATAGAGTAGCAGGAGCCTGATGTATTCAGGAGCCTAACAGGTGGGAAACACTGGAAGATTTTAAGTGCAGAGACTATTCAAGATGAGATTTGTGTCTAAACAGTAGCCTTTATGTATCGTTCTTTCTTCTTACCTTTTTAACTTTTTTGTCTTTTTCTTTTGTATTTTTGAGATAGGGTTTCACTGTGCAGTTCAGGGTGGTCTTGAATTCATTTTGTAGCCCAGGCTGGCCTTGAAGTAACAGTGATCTTCCTGCTTCAGCCTCCTGGCGTTTTTGTCTTTTTGATACAGGGTTTGATTATACAGTTCAGACTGGCCTTGAACTCACTTTGTGACCCAGACTGGTCTCAAACTCACAGCAGTCCTCTTGCCTCAGCTTCCTAGGATTCTAAGCATGCGCCATATGCCTTTCCAAGGATCCTTTATTAATGGCTCGCTGTCTGGTTAGGCTGTGAGCTTCAACAAAGCAAAATGCACCAGGCACTCAGTAAATAAGCTTCAGCTCTTAGTGCCGAGCGCCCCACGGTGAGTGCTCAGGTGCCTTAGCTACAGTGGTCAGTGTTCTTTGTTGGCATTGGCATGGGACAGCTGTTGCTGTCCAATTGGACATTTCATAAAATACTGTAGCTTGAGAGTGTCTCTTAGAGCTGCATGACGGAATTAGAAGAATCAGCGGCTAAATTTACTTGTTAAGTTTCATCACTTCTTTTTCCTTGTGTCCCGCCTATAAGGTGGAGTGCACAAAGTAATTATTAGTAAGTCAGATCAGATAAATGAGGAGGTTAAGATTGATGCTCCTGCTTACCCTGTTGTGTTCATGTGATTGGCTTGGAACCTGTAAAGGTAATCTTTATCAAACTGTTTCTTCTAGAGGTCTTTTTTTGTAATTTTTAAATTTTATTAATATATATTTGGAGTTCATGCAGTTCACAGTCAACTTGGAGAGTGATTATATGTACTTACTACAGCTTTTTAAAAAAAATTTCCTTTCTCTCTTCCTCTAAAAGAGGAAGAGAATTTTTCCTTAGTAAAATTATCTTTCCACAGTTCACTTAAGATAGTCTCATCCTTATTCTTGTGTTACTGTATATTCATTTATTTTACATAAAGTGGACTGCCTTGCCATTTGGGCCATTTGGCTTCTTTCCAAAGACTAAAGATTACTATTAGGAGCTTTCTTAACTAATATAAAATGTTATTATAATTTATGATAATTTTTAATACATATAACAGTTTTCATATTTTACTTTTTCAAATGTTTAATTTATATATCATGTGTCCTCTTTCTCTTGTGCTGTTTCGGTTTCTTTTCCCCAGGTGTTGAGGATTTGCACTGCAGGCCTCTACGTTGAGCCCAGGTTGTGCTGCTTGCCAGGCAGGCACTTAGGCCACTGAGCTTTACCGTGGCTCAGGCCTTTGTATTGAGGAAGCTTTCCAGTGACATGTCCTCTGTTAATGTAGAGAGTATGTAATTGCATCGCCACCTTGCTGGGGTCTTCTCCCCTCTGCCTGTCTTCTTTGCATATTAGCAAACAGGCTCCCCGCTACCACATACTTGCTTGTATGAGCATTGCTGGATTCTAACATCCTGAGTCAAGGTATATCCTAGAGATAGGCATCAGCTCCAACATATACCTCTTTCTTCCTTTTTTTCTCTCTCTGTCTCTGTCTCCTCTCTCCTCTCTGTCTCCTTTCTGTCCTCTCTCCTCTTTCTTTTTTATGTATTTGGTACTGGGTCTCACTGTGCAGCTTCAACTTACAGTGATCCTCCTGTTTTTAGCCTCCCCAGCACTGGGATTACAGGTGCACACCACCACGCCTGGGCTCTGTGGCTGGCTTAGTGTGCCAGGGGATGGGGCTGGCAGGGCCTGTGGTACTGGGGATTGAACTCCAGTCCCTGTACTTGCCTAAGCAGGCACTTAGTCCTATCTCGCCAGCCCTGTACCTTTTTCTCGAGTGCCTTTAATCCATGCCAAAACTATACAGCTACCCTTAATGGCCAGAATAACTACATAAATTGGTTGAAATCAACTAGGCTGTAGATGACCTTTTATAAACAATGTATTTTGAAACTAGAAGAGTTGCTCATTTGCGTATATGTTAAAAGTTAAAAAATATTGTTTTCAAAACTTGATTTGGTAAATCATGTGTAGGGGAAGAAGTTTTTATCAAATAAAGCTAAGTGTCTTTATAATCATCATTCATTCGTTCATTCATTTTGTTGACTGGGGGTTGAACTGCCTTTGTACTGAGCTGCATTCACAGATCCTTTTATTTTGAGAAAGAGTCTTGCTAAATTGACCAGCCCGGGTTTGAATTTTTATCCTCCTGCCTTAGCCTCCCAGAGTACTGAGAATGTGGTTGTTCTCTATACTTTGATGGGCTCAATTTTTAGTAACTAACAATGTATGCACTGTGACATGCATTATTTCATTTTTGATTATATAAACTTTGCAAGAAAGTAGTGAGCCCATGTATTTGTCATCCAGCTTCAGCATTTGTCAGTATATTTATCTCTTTTTGACCCATTTTCTCTCCACCAGATAATTTTGAAGTAAGTCCAAACATTTGTTTTCAATCTCTGAGCTGTTTAACACTACCTGCTGGCTTGAACCACAGGTAGTACATTCCTGACTGACCTATTGTGCCACTAGTGATACAGATTCAATAACCTTTGTCTTTTCACTGATAAAATAAATTCTAAAAAAATTTATAAATGGACTGAATCTAGCTGGTTACTTGAATTTGACTGGTTACTGCCTAAATATAAGCATTAATAATAATCATACCAATTAAAATTATTGTAATGATCAACCAATTTGTTTCATTCAGTCGAATATATTATGTTTGTGAATAGTTTATCAGTAACTAATTCTGTAAATTTTAACATGGAAGCCATACAAGTACTCCATTGCTAGTACATATGATGTGCACTTAGAACTACTGTACTGATTATCTGTACTGCAGTCTGTTAAACAATTTTAATGTTTTCCTTAAGGAACTGTAATACAATGGCATCTCATCTGCTAAGTCAGTACTTTGTGTTATCATCAGGGACCTCCTGAGAGGTGGTACAGACTGTCGGGTGGGACAGTCATGCGTATACCACTGGTGGTTCAAGTCAGCAGAAAAGATCAATGAAATCAGGCTGCCTGGCCATAAGACATACAAATTATGGTCCCATTGTGAATGGGTTACATTGATGTTTAAATAACATCAGCACAGTATCACTATCATATCCAAAAATATTAAAATAATTAACCATCATATCAACCATCTAGTTAGTTTTTACACTTTGCTCTTTCATAAACTACTTTTAAAGTTAGTTTGACCCAGAATCAAATAAGTCTATAAACTGGGGCAAGGAGCCGAGACAGGGACTTGCTGCATAGTTCAGGCTGGCCTTGAACTCTCTGTATTAGCCCAAGCTGGCTTCAGACTTGTAATCCTCCGGCCTTAGTCTCTTTACTGTTGGGATTACAGGTATGCACTGCCATTCCCAGTTTGGATTCCTTTTAATTTACAGCTTTTCCTTTTTTTTTCTTGGATTTTATTTGTTGAAGAAAGGGTCATTTTTCTACTTTCTGGATTTTGCTGATAGTATCTGTTATCCAGAATATACCTTATTTATGTTTAAATAGATGATACCTTGTATCTATTGACTGCCAGCATGTTTTTATTAAAGTGGAAAGTTAATACTTAATTCTATTGTTGAAGAATGGAGGACTTCAAAGATTACATAAATCTGAAGGAGGGCACTGAAGGGTATTGTGTGAACCTCATGAGTTTGAATATTTTTGTATTGTTTCAGTGACAAAAAAGTTACTGCCATCTTAAAATATTGTAAAACACTAGAATATGCAGTGGTAACAAGAATAGATACACTAGTTTGATTTTGGTGAAAGTAACTTTTTTTTTTTTTTTAAAGATACCAGGTAATCAGCACTCCAACAGACTTTTTTATGGTAATGGAATATGTGTCTGGAGGTGAATTATTTGACTACATCTGTAAACATGGACGGGTGAGTAATGTATTATTTAGTATATAAGTGTATAAGCTAAAGAAGAGGAAAAGATTAGAAAATAGCCAACCACAAAGATACCCTCAAGTTTGAGTTGCTTCTGTAATAAAGCCCAACTAAATGTAGAGTATTAGACAAATTTTCTTTCTTTTTTTTTTTTTTTTTTTTTTTTGTGGAACCGGGGATTGAACTCAGGCCCTTGAGGTTGCCAGACAAGTGTTTATTCTACTGAGCCATTTCCCCGGTTCCCCAAATTTTCTTTCTTAAAAAATATAATCCGCAACCAAAATGAAAATTCTGATTTTGCAAAATGTACTCCACTTAATCTGTAGATGATTCTTACGTTTTTAAATCTGTAAAATTACACTGACACTTTCTATAATTTTCTTAGGACTGTCATATAAGTTCTGATTTACTTTGTCTTACAGATGATTCCCTAAGACATTTTGCACATTTAATATAAATTGAAAATTAATATTAGTTAATTTGTCATATTCCTTTGTGACAAAGCAAAACTTGTCAAATTGCACAATAAATGTTCAGGTTTTGCTTTGTTTTCTCTGCTTTGTTGATAATTTATTCTAATTAGCCTGCTTAGTTATACTTAGACTGATAATAAAACTGATACTCCTAATACAGTTTCATTTTTACTTGATAGGTTGAAGAGATGGAAGCCAGGCGGCTCTTCCAGCAAATTCTGTCTGCCGTGGATTATTGCCACAGGCACATGGTTGTTCATCGTGACCTAAAACCAGAGAATGTGCTGCTGGATGCGCAGATGAATGCCAAGATAGCAGATTTTGGTGTGTAGCTCTAGGGTTGTTCAGAGATACATAGCTAGCTTTTAAAGTGTGCCAGTAACAGTTCTTATAGAGCTAAAAGCTTTCAGTGTTAACCTTGTAAATCTTGTATCATGGAAAGGAATTAGTTTCACTCAGTGTACCAGCTTGGTGTCTCCCTTTAAATACACTTTTAAAGAAAACTGGTTAGGCTAGGACTAATATCTAAAGTATACAAAGAACTCACAAAAATTAGATCCCCCCAGTAAAAGACCCAGTCAAAAACTGGGCAATTGAAATGAATAGACACTTCTCAGAAGAAATATAGGTGGCCAGTAAATACATGAATAAATGTTCACCATCTCTGTCATTAAATTGTAGAGTAAAACAGCATTGAAATTTCATCTTATTCCAGAAAGAATGGCTGTCATCAAGAAGTCAAATGATAATAAATGCCTGACAAGCTGAGGGGAAAAAGAAATCCTCTGTAGTTTTGTTAGGAATATAAACTACTATAGTCATTATCATTATGGAAATCAGTATGAAATTCATACTAGGAATTCAAAGTAGGAATTCCATTTGACCCCAATGTCCCCTTTCTAAATATCTTCTGGAGAAACGTCATATCACAGTGACCCATGCATAAACATGTTTATAGCAGCATAAGTCATAATAGCTAAATCTTGGAGGCAGCCTATATGCCCATCAGCAGATGAGTGGTTAAGGAAAATGCATTTATACACAGTGGAGTATGGCTCAGCCATAAAGAGAGGTAGACATCAGTCATTTATAGGGAAATAGATGTACTTTGAGGCTGTAATGGTTTTTTTTTCCCATAATTTTATTAAGAAACAAATAGCAATGAGATAGTTTCAAACCAAATTGGTAGGACAGTTTCAATAATTAACACATTGCATACATTCTTCCTAGTGGTTAATTGCTGTACAAGATGTGAACATGATATCCTATTTACAAACACCATTACAAACACCATTACAAACACCAAAGAAAACTGGTTAGGCTAGGACTAATATCTAAAGTCCTATTCATTAAGAACAAATCCCTCTATTCATTAAGAGAGTGTAACTATATATCTATTCTAATCACTTTGAATACACAGATACAAAATGGACATTCATGTGTATTCCCTTTTTTTGTTAAGTTCCGTCATTTGAATATTATAGGTGTGTAAACTCAGCAAAATATTCTAAGAGTCCAGTAGCCCATAACAGTATTGGGTCTTCCACTTGACTGGCAATGTCAGAAATTGTTGACCTGAGTCCCCTACAGCTCAGCATAATAGCATGGCTTTACTTCTTATATTTCTTCTGCTGGATGGTTAAGACTAAGGTAAAGCAGGACCTGTGCAACAAGAGTTGTAGCTTTTGGGTCTGATAAGGTCAGTGAAATCCCCTCAGGATTTATCCTGAGATCCTATACCTCAGATTGTAGAACCTTTGTCAGTGCCAGCCATGTGGGTGAGTCACAGCCATTACTTGGTCATTGTGCTCTCTGTGAAAGCCTGAGAGAATGTTTTCTCTCCATGTGACTCTCCTTAGGCACACTCTACATCATCGATCCCTTTCCTCTTTGGCCCCATAATCTCCTTGATTAGAAAATTTGGGACACTACTGAGTTACATGACGTTACAGTACAAGTTCTCATATGTCCTGAGTCTTAATGGACCTTGA